CAAAATATACAAATCGTAACCTCAACGGAAAATAGCATTGCAAGCCCTAAACATTGCGTTGAAGGGAAGTAAAAGGTTGTTTTGATTGCTATTTTTTTATTTTTTTTCTTTGATGTGTTTATATTGATTATAAGATATTACAAGTATAATTAAATCGAAAATGGCAAGGTATAATCAGAGATAGGATGAAGACGTATAAGAGATATAAGTAGATACACTAAGTGAGGCAGTGAGCACAGAAAGATAAACAAAGCACTTTGTAGCTTCACAATTCTTTTATACTTATGCCTTTACTTTGGTTGTCTCGGGCCACCTTAGGTAACCTTGGTACACCTTCTTATTTAGTAATTTGTTGTGTGAACAACTTGTTTTGGACTAGGATAGCATCCAAAGTATTAAACTTTAACAATCCACCTTTTTTCTATTTTAGTGGTCAAATTGCATATTCACGATATTATTTGCCATTAACTCAAAAGTTTTCAAAGTTTCCTCTACTATTTTAAGATTAAACAATCATCCACTCATTGCATCTAGAATTGTTTTAAAGGAAGGTGCAAGACTACTATAGAATATCTAGACTTGTAACTAGTTTGGTAAAACATGATGTGGACATTTCCTCATTAACTCCTTATACTTTTCCCAAGCCTCATTTAGAGATTCAGTTTCTTACAGCACAAAAGAAGTGATCTCATTTCTCATTCTAGCTTACTTGGATGGATGGAAGTACTTGTTTACAAATTTTATAGTTGTATCCTCCCTTTTAGAATTATTGCCTTGAGGTTATGATTAAAGCTAACTTTTAGCTTTATCCGGTAATGAGAAAGGGAAAAGCCCCAAGCGAATTGTATCTTTTGAAACTTCATTAATCTTCAAGGTGTCACAAATCGCTAGAAAATTCTCTACGTGAGAATTGAGATCCTTTAAAATTGCACCGCCAATTGATTATGTTGGATTAATTGTACCAATTCAAGATTGATTTCAAAATTATTGGTTTGAATAGGAGGTCTCACAATGCTCCTTAATAATTATTAGGATATGGCATAGAATAATTATGAAGAGTCTTCCTCACAGGTTGTTTTGTTATTGTGGATACATGCTCTTTGTTATCAATTGGTGTCTCTTCTTGCCTTCTTTCTCGCCTTCTTCTTCTAGCACTACTCCTGTTACGTCTAGCAATGTGTTCAATTTATGAATAAAATAAATAGAATTAGAAGAAGTTGAAATGGAAGAAGATCCCCTTGTTTTGCTCCTTTTTCCCCTTTATGGTTTCCTGGATTCCTCCATTTGCAAAGATGGTTACTTCTCTCTCATAACCATTTTTCTCTTTTTTCGTTTCCTTTATCTAATCCTTTTCGGTCCACACAATATTAAAATTTAATACTGCTTACTAAAAAATTCACAAGTTATGAAAAATCCACAAGTTACCTGGAACTTGCTAATTTGAATTATGTATTTTGGAACCAAATCCATAGGTTGTAAAAGATCCATTAGTTGCTTGTGGAACTCTCTATTTTGCTTTCTTTACTTTTAACACCAACTCCCTCCAAATTGTAATTGCAACATCTCAAAACACTTGTTTAGAATAATGATACACAAATCCAAATATATGATTAGAAACAAAGATAATATGTGATGAAATCATTCAATGCAAAAATGTATGAAAATGACCTAACTAATGCATGAATGCAAATACATTTTATTTGCTCATCATTGTTGGATTCAGAACATGATCGGTAAAAAAGAGAATGAGTGTGAATGTATGTTTTGGGATGTTGCCTTTATTAAAAGACAAATAAATGTTCACTCTCATTCGTAACTTCATTGTTTGATTAAAAATTAAAAAATGAAGATGAGTTAATATCAGATAACATTAGTGATGTGTTTAATTTTGCTTGAATTTGGATAAATTGTGAAAGATAAAGCACGTTTTAATGTTAGAGTCTGGTAGGAAAAACTAAATATCCAATTAGGTTGTTATTTGAAGAACTTTCTTATAAAAGTATTTTTTAACCCGTATAAAAACTTTTATTTGAATACTAAAATTCTGGATATTTTTAAATTGTTTTTTCTCTGGATTGTTATTTTCGTTTATCTAATTTTTATATAAATAATTAGCATACGTTACAACTGAGTTATCATTAATGTATCTGATTAATTGAATATTTATTATTTATTGACAAAAGATGTAATTAGAGGAAAAAATAATTTAGATAAACTTTCTTATGAAAAAGGGCTAGTAAACTTCTAAGAAGCCACTGTATAAAAGAAAATAGCCAAAACTAAAAAAAAAACTATAATTTAAAATACTTAGTTGTTTCAATTAATTTTGATGTCGTTTTCCTATTAAAAGTATCATTTGTAACACTTACTTCTTTTTTTCTTGTCTCTTATTACATTACCATTTTTATTTTGGAATTCCTTTTCCTATTACACATATTCATTCTAATACTTCTATTTATTCTCTTATTGGCATTTAGCATTAAGGATGTCCAAAATACTTTTTATGATTAACAATTAACGAGTCCATGGTGTCGATAATTTTCAAAATCTAGATAAAACCTGCTAAAAAAAATTCATATATCTTCAAAACGCGTTTAATTATTATGATAATGTGAGGAAAACATTAATGAAAACAAACTCAACAATTGGTTTAGCAAATGAAAGACGAAATCTAATCGAAATTTAAATTTATCCAAAAATAAATTTCCACACATGGCAAAATTTACTATGTCGTGTAATTTCTCACATAAATTAAAAATTTATTATGTGATAAGTCATATTTCTGAAGAACAAGTTGAATTTTTTTTTTCCTTCTGGAATTAATCTCGTAGGTGGTCCCATAAACAAGTAATCTTCTCATTCCAAAATCAGAAATATTCTTAGGGAAATTCATCAACAGTGACAACAATTTAACACTGCATTTTCAGAGAGAATAATATACAAGGAACCAAAGTGTCTAAAAATCTGAATTCTATTATGTTCTCCGACGACTTAAAACATTCCTTAGAAAACAAAATAGCCATAAGCATCGTATAGACATAGTCGTACAATAATACGTAACTCTATATGCTATTCGTACGTATACTACTGTTACTATGTTACATCCTCTTTCAAAAAAGGCCAAAGAGGACGGAGAAACCTAGTACGATGAGCCACACAATATGCACCAAAAGCAACGCCTGACCAGACAGAGGGACGACGGAACCGCCGTTCCCCACTTCACAAAACCCCATTTTCGCAACCTGTGCGCCGGCGCACGCAGCTTCGCTGCACCCGCACCAGTACGTCACACCGTCCACGCCGCAAACGGGGTCCGTCCGAAAACACTTCACAGGGCACGATGACGGCGTTATCCCACCGCATATTTTCTGTCCTTGGTCACCGGCAACTTGGGACGGCATCCGGAGAACCGTCGAGACAACGTCATTCGCTGTCACGGGCGGGAGGACACAGAGGAAAACGGCGATGAAGACAGCGGAGAAGTAGAGGATTTTGAAGATTTCGGCCATGATCTGGGAGAGGCGAGCTTAATAAAGCTCGCCTGAGAAATCGGAGAACAGAAATTGAAATGGGTTGAGTTTGTAAGATAGGTTAAGAAAATTGAGGGATGAGAGTGGTGGTTGAACTACACGAGTTACTCTGCACCTTTCTTTCTTTATTGCTTGTCAATCTTCATCATTCATTTTGCTGTTTCTCTGCTCTGTCAACTTCTGGTGCTAATATCAAAGTCTTCTTAATGATAAATACATAAACGTGTGCAAGAAAAAAAATACAGTCTCCGCGTCAAAATAATTAAAATAAAACACAAAACTTAATTACCATTAATTTTTCCTACGATAACGTATTAAAATACGTAAGCATGCTTAGCAAAAACATATATTAAAAATAATTTAACATACAATTAACGAATATTTTCGAGAAACTATATATAGTAGGTGCTTTTATTCTAGTTAAATGAATAATTGTAGCTGATAAGTTTTTAATCTTTAATACATGCTCACATTTAAACTTTTTAAATTTGAAATCACATGTCACTTTGATAATTTTCCCAATCACGATTTTGTTTTTCATACATAAAGATTTAAATTAGGAGAAAACACATTTCTAGACAAGGCAAGAAAAATAACGAAAACCATCCTAAAATTTATATATTGTCTATCACTTCTTTATACAAAATTGGATCATCCAATGCAAATTACAGTAGATATTTAAAAAAAAAAATACTTTATTTTTATTGAACACCTCCCCTTTTTTTTCTCTTATCACATTTTATTTCCTCCAAACCAATTACTTCTTTCTTTTTCTCTCACCTCTCGTGTATATGAGCATATTTCAGGTGTACGTACTAATATTTTTTCTTCCAAATCACGAGAATGAAATATGGACTAAATGTAGGCTTATGCTATTTACACTACCCAATTGTTCTATCTAGACAACCCTTTAAAATGATATGTTTACCCTTATCCTTTTATGCTTTCACTGCTCCAACCTCGCACGACACTTTTTGTTCGAAAACATTAACACATATTTTTCACTCTCTCAATGGAATGTTTTCTTTTTCTTTCTCGAGAATCTTTGGTTAAAAATGTCTTTTCGAAAAATAATCTCATAAAAAAATTATATTTCATACCCTCTAAATTTATTTTAACAAAAACACCATTGCATTTCCATGTTCAGGTATCAAGAAAATAAATATGACTTTGTAGTACAGATTTTTATTTTCTAAAAATTCCAAGAAATACACTTTTGGAGACAATGGAAGGGAACGTAAATGGGTATTGGAAAGAGTCAAAATCCCCCTGGAGTGGTATTTGAAGGCGAAAAGTGCTCCTAAAACGGAGAGGCTTAAAGGTATAAATAAGAGGGTTTGGGCAACGTTATAGTAACCTCAGCATTCTTTGCGTAGTGGTGTTTGTTCCTTGGATCACAAACACTCCTCCTTCATTCATATTTGTTTAGTTAAATTTATAATGGGAGGTTGTGTGAGCGGTCCCAGGAACATGGTAGAGGAGGTCCCAATTCAGACTCCCGTCACACCAGAGAATGCTGAGGGCGAGACCCTTCTTGTTCCAAAGGACAACATTCAACAGGAAGAAGACAAGGTAAAGGAGGAGAAAGCAGAGGAAGCTGTAAATGAGGAAGAGAAGGCAGAGCAACCAAAAGAAACAGAGCAACCAAAAGAAACAGAGCAACTAAAGGAAACTGAGCAACCAAAAGAAACAGAGCAACCAAAGGAAACAGAGCAACCAAAAGAAGCCGAGCAACCAAAAGAAGCTGAGCAACCAAAAGAAACAGAGCAAAACCTTCTTGCCTTCTGATCACATTCATTTTTAACATCTCTTCTTGGAAATCCTTTACCTCCGTTATTATGTCCGTGCATTATACCTTCCTGTCATTATTGGAACATCATTTCAGTAATAAAAAGTATCCCATTTGACATTATGTTTTAATGATAAAATATTATGGAATTAAATAAAACACTCGCTTTTTAAGTTAAAAAAACAATATTTTTAAATTTTTTAAGAAGTAATATTTCTCTATAAATTGATTATAAAATTATGTTCAAGAAAGAAAGATTTTAATTTTTTAATATTAATATACTTCTATTAAATTAGTTAAAAATTTATATTTAAGGGAAAAATTTAAAAATTAATTAATTTTTATTGATATTAAAAATTATATTTAATGAGTTAAAACTGTTTTCAGTAAATTATAATTTTGTTAAGGAGAGAGAATGTTATATAATAAATTTTGATTTCTCTTTTATTTTTTTATTTATTTGTTTTGACTTTTCATTACTTGAATTTTATGTATATTAATTTTTTATCTTATTTTTTTGTTAGTATCTTTCTTTTCTTGTTTTTGTTTTTATTTTATTTTTTTAATTTATATAAGATTAGAAATACGTTTATTCATTTTTTTAATAATGAAAACGAAATCTCTAATAAAATAAACTATCTATATAAGTTGAAATTAAAAGTTATACTAAAATTAAATAAAATTAAATAAAATTAAATAAAATTAAATAAAATTAAATAAAATTAATTATAATAATTTAATAGATAATTTTTCTTAAAAATTAAATTTTAAATAAAAAAATTATTTTTAAATTTATTTTGAATATTCCAAACTCTTGAACCGCCTTCATTTTTAAATTTATTTTATCATTCCAAACTCTTAAAAATGTCTTAAATAGTAAAGTAAAAAGTAAAAATAAATATATAATAATTGAAAAAGATGCATCTACTTATATAATATACATTTTTTACTATCCTCTAGTATAAAATTAACCATAATAGTTTTTCTTAAAGAAAAAAATTCTTATGGTAACGGTTAAAAATTCCTCGAAATTCAGCTCTCCAGTTTTTTGGTTTTTCTTTGCTCTTTTCGAAAAAAAGGGAAGAAAAAAAAACTGGAATTGAAATTATATAAAGATAATTTTAGAAACTATTTAAAAAATACCAAGATTAAATTTTAATCCTTTTGACAAAAGAATAAATTGAAAATAATGTAAGAGTGAATAAATTTTGATAATAATTGTAAAATCCCAGAAAATGGTATTTTAGAAGTGGTGGTAGTTTAAAAACAATGAGACTCTTTATTTTAATGTTAAATGGTTTTATTATAAATAGTTTTGTTATAAACGAGTTTCATTATTTTAAAACGTATCATCTCTCTAGAAACCACTTTTCTAGAGTTATCTACCTTCTCTCTAAGAGTTCTAACTCTCGAGTCATCTCTTTGACGATCAAGAGATACCTTTTTAACCATGACAACAAGGTCTATGTTTCTACCTTTTTATAACGTACAAAAATGATCTTTTATAACGTAGTTATTGGTGACATAGTTCTGGGTGATATAATAACTCTGCGCATTTTATAACGTATTAGAAATTTACGTTATAATATGTTCCACATATTATAACGTAGTTTCTGAAGTACGTTATAATATGCGCAGACTATTATGACAAATTTCCATTTGTCATAATAGGGTGGAAGGTATTATAACGTAGAAGTTTTTGTACGTTATAATATGTTATATATTATTACGTATATATTATTTTACGTTATAATATGTGATCAACGTACCTTAACGTACTAAGCAATGTACGTTATAATATATGTTTTTATTTTTAAAAAAATTTATTATTAAATTTAACATCCAATGAAATTATAATAATATTCTTGTATTATGATGTGATCCAATCAATTTATAATTAATAGAGCTTTAAATAAACAAATTTAATGAAACTAACAAAATAGAATTTATTTCAAATATTAAATAGTCTAATATTTAATACATCATTTATACATGAAGCTATATATTAAATCTAAATATTACATTAATGTACATACACTATTTAATTGTAGCCAAGTTTCTACTAACACTTAAAATAAAAGAAGCTCAGTTCCTTCTAATGTCTTCAATGTCTGCAGCATCCATCGGAGATGAATCATTAAAGATCTACAAATAAAATAATAGAGTTAAAACAATATTGTGATGAATAGTTGGATAAGTATTTAGTTAGTATTTTAATACGTTATTCCATCAGTAATGTTTGTACAAATATTGGTATGCATGTGTTTCATTACATAATACTCACACTCATAACTGCCCAATTGACGTCGACACTGCAAATTAAATACAAATAATGAAGACTCATTCAAACCAAAGACACAAAATATCAAATTATACTCTAGCTAGCCTATATAGCTCTGTATATTCTACTAAACCCTATTTCACAAAATCAACAACAAAGCCAATTCCTCATAAAAATAATAATCACCAAACACAAAACAAAGGAAGGTCAACTTCTCTTACATTAGGTGTGATTATTTGCATCTTCTTTCTAGAAATAGATGGAACACCCCGCAACCTTGAATGAGCTTCCAAAGAACTATACAAAAGTTAGACATCCATGTGGCATAACCCATAAGCATAAAATAAACAAAGCAACCAAGAACCTTATCAAATATCTTTATATCCTAATCCTAGTTACACAAACCAAAGAAAAATACCCAAGAGGAGCAAGTGGATATTGAAAATTCATTAAGATCATAAACATAAAACACACTTATTTATTCTTCATTCAGTTACATATAAGCGAATACCTGTTCTACACAAAAGAATATATAAACGATAAAAGGGATAACCAAATAGTTTTAGTAGCCTTACAAGTTAAAGTGCCAATTTTACAAAAGTTATAACAAAAATAATTGATCATTACAGGGTTACAGGGAGTTTAGTTATTTCTTTATTGTATAAAGATTGGACAAATTTTCATATGAAAGGATAACTAGAAAAAGGAAAGTACAATTGCTTCAGATGAAACATAAAAATAAATATTATTTATTTTATTTTATTTTTGTACGGGACAGATTTATTGATTTATGTTACCTAATCTTCAAAATATAGATAGATCATTAAATTGTTAATTAGCTAGATCACTTAAGTTATTTGTTGAACAAAAATAGGAACAATAATTGATCAAAATTACTTTAAATTTAACGAAACCTGGTCCTACAATATTTAAAGCAAAATTTTAAATTAACTAATGTCTCTTTATCTAATAAAAAAAGCACTCGTGGTATTAATAAAAGTCCTAACTAAACAACCTTGTAGACACAATCCTCTTACATAATCCATATATATATATTGATTTCTATATATAAATTAACATCAGCAATAATAATATATTAATATTGATTTCTAGAATGTTCGAAATGCCAACCTTGTATGCCACTTTTTTTCCCCTTTCACATCACATAATCAACATAAGCTTTGAAAGTATGCATGAATAAAAAGTAACAGGTTAAACGACTGAATAAAGATGAATATTAAATTCTCTAGCATATATAAACTATTATTCTATCGTTAAGGTTGTGTGGTTAAACAGCAGAAATCACGAAAAACCAAACCAAATGATTAAGAAACCAAGAAATCAAAACATGCTGCAAAGACATCAAACTTAATGATTTCAAAAATTTGGCAAAAGTGTTTGACAGAATGCCTCAAAGAAAAACCAGTTTTTGGCCAAAATCCTGATGCTGGTGCAGCAAATTTTTTGAAACTGGATTGTACAGGTCCAAATGCTTTTTCTAAACTTGGTTAATGATAGTTTGATGTATTATTTAACAGTAGTGGTACCAAGCTTTTGCTACAATCCAAATATCAAAGGCAAATGCACCAAAACAGATTCAAACTATGTGCAGAAACTAAAATCTGGCAAAACAAACACTTTAAAATGGATGACTTGAGAGGCAATTTTTCACAGCTATGGTTAGACACCTAATTTGATGATTGGAGCAACTTTGTATGCATTATTTGAAGGTGTTTAAACTGTCAAACGGCAAGGATATATGCAGCAGCAGAAATTGAGTAGTTCACTTCCAATTTCAACAAAATGTGATGCTTGGAATGATGATTTTGCATATGGACTGAAAATTGACCAATTGAACAGTAAGAACAAGTTTGAAATGGTCAATTGTATGTGCACAAACGTTCAAACACCACAGAAGCACACAGAGTCTCAATATCACTCTTAAAAGTTGCCAAATTATGTTGAAAATTAGTGAAAACTGCAGCAGTTTGGAAAATACTGGAAGCAAAGCTGGATTGATCAAACAAGTGATTATGAATGTCCTAAATCTAGATCTAGCTGCAGAAATTAAGCTAGGAAATAGTAAAAGCCTAAAACATGGCAAAGATTCAAGCACGGTGCAAAGCTTTAGACATAGCAAATCTGGACTAACTTTGGAAAACTTTGACAGCACTGTTTTATTGAAATTTGAATCAACTCACATATGACTTTCACAAATCAGTGGTTAATCTGAATTGAAACAACTTGAACCATGTTTAGACACTTCAAACAAACTTGCAGCAGGGTTCAGAGACACAAAAATTGGCCAGAAACAGTGTGGACAACATTAAACCAGAAATGCAATCGGCTACTGAAGTTAAAAACAGATTATGAGCAACTCAAACACCCATTTTGCTTTTCTTTGATGCATATGAGTTGCAATATCTTTAGATACTTTCAAAAACAGTAGACAAATGTGCACAAGGCTTGAAACAACAAGAAATCTGGATAGAAACAGATTGGACAAAATGAAACCAGAAATTAAAATTTTCTGCAGAATTTTGCTATTGGAACACAGTGTGCACAGCTGTTAGCTCAAATGATCAAAGCTGAACTTGATGTTAATGCTTTATATGATCAACATATAGCTAGCACATGCACAAGACTCAATTACAAACGAAAATTCACTACTAGAACAGATTGAAACACATATGACAGATTAAAAACTGCAAAAGAAAA